GGTAAGTGAGAGAGAAGCCTTATTGTTTGAAAAGGTTAGTTTTTTACTTCTTTGGATATTTATGCCCTGTGGCTTCTATGCCCAGCATTTGTCTTGAGCATTCAACAAATATTTTGTGGCAACTACAAAATGCAGTCACTCTGCTAATGATGGGAATTCAGTAATGAACAAAAATAGATATGGTCTCTGCCCTCAGGAAACACATGTTGGTGAGGTAGTCAGGCAATCAAATAATTAGTCAAATACAGAATACCATCCTAAATGCTGCAAAGTGCATTTGATTCTATGAGGGAATGACAAGGATTTAAACTTGTCTGGGGTGCAGAGAAGGCTTTGCTAAAGGAAGTGATGTTTAACTTGGGAGAATGAGATTTAGTTAACTGGGTGAAAGGGCATGGGGTGGGAGAAGAGTTAACTGGTGGAGGGAACAGCATGTGCAAAGGTCCAGAGGCAGGAAAGGACTTGGAACATGTGGGGAATGGGTAGCAGGCTGGATTGGAACCCTTATCTATCTGAGGCCCAAAGAGTCAATGGAGAAGAGCAAGTAGGGGGTACCCAAGTCTACAGGAGGCTGGAGAGTAAGACAAAAGCTGTAATAGGCAGGGCCTTAGAGTTCATGCTAAGGACTTAGGTCTTTATCCTATGAGCACTGGTGTTGTTTAAACAGGATTATATCATCTGACATGTGTTTTGAAAAGATGGCTCTTTCTGCTGTGTGGCAAATGGATTGAAAGATGGTCGCCAGTTGGGAGCAAGATGATGGTAGTAAGGGGGGAGGAGTTAGAGAGAAATGGACAGATGTGAGAGATATTTAGGAGGTGAAATGGCCAGAACTTGACAATGGATTGGGACTTAGAGATAAGGGAGAACGTATGAACCATGACTCCCAGGCTGCATAACTGAATGAATGATGTGGCACCCACGGAGGGACACCCATCTCTCTTTAAGAAGGCCTTCTACAAAGAACATACTTGGCTGACAGTCTCCAGCTGCCACGTGTTCAGATCCACTGCAGCATTCACACAGGGCTACACACTCTCTGGCTGCTGCCAGTCAATGAGCATGGTGCAGGTACCAGAGCTGGGACGTTTCTGCCCATGGGAGTCCTCTAACAGGCAATCTGTGCTCTGGGCTTCCCATTGGCTTGGTCTTTCACAGAACGGCTCTGCAGTCTAGGGCTCTTCCTACTTAGTCCTCCTTCCTTCCTTCTCCCCATTCACAGGGCACAGACCTGCCTCATGGTCTGAAGCTCTCTCTTCCTACTCCTGCTCCCTGCCCTCTTTACCCTTCATAAGCATTTTCCCCAACAAACTCTTGCATGTTTAATTCCACCTTGGCATCTGCTCTCGGAGGACCCAGACTGGCACAGCGGTGCCCTTCAGTGAGCTGCAGAATCTTGAAAAGGACCAAGTTTGTGAAGGTCTCGATTCTGCACGTTGGGTGAGTTGTCAGCTGGACAGGGAAACTCCATGTCCACTTTATTGCTCATAAGGTTTGTGCTTTGCTGCCAAACGGTTAACTAAGTCCTCTGGGTGAGCTAGTGTCTGGTCTTTTTTGTCAAATGCAAATTTTGGTAATTCCCAAAGTACAGCTCAATACTAAAACTGTTTGCCTCTAGAAAAATATCCTTTAACTTTTTGAGGAAGAGGAAAAAGTAAGAAAAAAATAGAAAGGGAGCAAGCAATTGTTCTTGAATAATCAAAGGTAAATAATTTTGCTCTTCAGGGGCCTTGGTTTCCTGGGAAAGAGGAGGAGTCTTCTCTTAGTGTTCCTGAAGGAAAACACTCACATATTTGGCAGCCCAGATGGAAATCTCTTGTCATTCTGTGGGAAAAAGCAGCCAGCACTCCAAAAGGCACTGTTGCTCTGACTCTGTCTCTCTGAGCAAGGTGCTCTAGGTGAGCTGGGTGGGGTCATGGGGACTGTAGTCACCAGCATCCTGTCTGAATGGATCACCTGAGAGAGGGCAGAGCTGTTCAGATCCAACACTGTTTCATGCTACTAAACACAAATCACGACTACTACATGAGTATTAGATCAATTTTCCTTCACTAATCACAGGTCCTGGACATTCCATTCCCATCTCATGGTAACATGTGGAGGCTAATGGTAAGTTTACTTCTTGTTATTAGGCGTTCTGGAAGCCCAGATAGTAGCGTTCTTGG